TTTATTTCTGTTCTTTTTTCTTCTTTTCCTTTGTCTACATGTATATGCTTATTCCAGTTTCTTCCAGTAGCTTTAAAATTAAGTTCTGATACTAGGTTGAGTGAGTTCTGCAACTGCGATCATCTTTTTAAAACTTACCTTGTCCCAAAACAGCATTCTTGGCTCTCCCTCCCTAAAAAATTACTTTGGCTCTTCTCAGTCCTTTGTATTTTGATATAAATTTTAGGATCATATTGTCCATTTCTATGAGATTGCCTATTGGAATTTTGATAGACATTGTGTTGTCTTGAATCTGTAGGCTACTTTGGGGAAAATTGCCATCTGAACAATATTGAGCCTTCAAATCCATGAACATATGAAATACTTCTTCATTTATTTAAATCTTCTCTGAGTAATATTTGGAAGTTTTCAATATGCAGAGCTTGTATTTTTGTTGAATTTGTTAACTGGCCTGGCCTTAATCTGTAGAATCTGGAGTGAGCCTGGCTCACTGATGTCTTCTCCGTTTTTAAAAATAATTTTTAATTTCTTAGCCTAGTTTTTTAGGGTTCCCCCCCTGTGTCTGCGTAGCTTAGAGTCTAGCAATGGGCTCAAATACTCAACTCCATGGAGCTCCTGCACTCTGCCTGTGGATCTGTGTGTGGGTTGGAGAATGCTTTCAAAATTGGGATACTCTCGCTTCTGCCTCTGTTCTTTCTGCAGGGTCATCTCTTCTTTCTGCTGCACAGATGGGAGTTTTTCAGCAATAGGGGGTTCCTCTTTCTCTGGGTCTTTCATTTCTAGGGTTGTCAAGGTTCAGACTGCTTTGCCATTTGACCTATATGGTAGGCAAAAAAATGGCCCACCAAAGATAACTGTGTTTTAATGCCTGAAAGCTTGTGTGTATGTTAGCTTGTATGGCAAGGGAAAATTAAAGTTACAGATCAGATGGAGACTGCTATTTGGCTAACTTTAAGATAAAATTATTAAGGATTATCTGGGTGGGGCCAGTAAAATTACAGGCGGTTTTAAAAGCATAAGAAGGAGACAGAAGTATCAGAGGAAAATGTGCCTACAAGAATTCTCTGAGAGACTCAGTGTTTCTGTGAGCAGTCGAGGAGTGTGGACAGCAAAGCAAGGAAATGAGTTCTCCCCTAGAGCCTCTGCTGGGAACACATCCTCCAGTGCCTCTATTTTACTCAATGAGACCCATTTTGGGACTTCTGAAGTACAGAATTGTACGATAACAAATTGGTGTTGTTTTAAGCCACCAAGTTTGGGGCAATTTGTTGCAACAGTGATAGAAAGCTAGTATACTCAAATGGGAAAAAGCACAAAGGCTTGTGCTACCAAACATGTTAAGTTTTCCCATTTGTTTTCTACTGGATTTAGTAGTTTCCATAATAGTGCTGCTGGGTATTATGGGTTCCAGATCTAGGCTTTTCCCTCTGGCACAAGGCAGTTGGCTTTCCCTGCCAGGAGCAGGGAACTCTGGGGAGGGAGGGTGGGGCACTAGCCTGTGGCTGGTGGGCTAAAGACTCCTGCTCTTAACCAACTGCTTCTCAGTCTTTAGTGGATATCCTTTACTATGAAATGTTCAGTTTTGATTGTTTTATCCAGTTTTATGCTGAGATTTTTCAGGATAACATTTCTCTGATCCCTTCATGCAACCATAGCCAAAAGTTGTCACTTCACCCCATTTTTATTATGATCCTTTTATTATGATCTGATAAATAAGTGGTGATCTATCTGATAAACAATGACATAGAGTATATTTCTTATTTATTCTGATTATCAACTGTAGTCCAGTATGTTCCTTAAAGGTTATTTTGTCACGTAATTGGAAGGTTTATATGCATTTATCGCAATTTAGAGAATGAATTTATTATTTCACACTCTTCATTCTCTTCACTATTTGACCAGATTTAACTATAGATTATCATGAACTGACCTTCTAAGTATGGTGTAACATGTTTGAAGTAGTGCATCGCACACTACCCTTATCTTTTTGTGAATTGATACTTGTGAATCAGATATGTAGTCACATTAATGCTGAGGAAAAAAATAACTTTTATAGTAAATCAATAAACAATAAAGATAGTAGCTTAATTGCTGTGCTATACTTTATGAGGTTTAAAAAATGAGCTATAAATTATTTGATTTGCTTCACTACCTGAACTACTAATATTCTTTTTCTTCCAGAGTCTCACCTTATTGCTCTGCCTAGAGTACACTAGTGTCATCATAGCCATAGCAACCTTCAAACTCCTGGGCTCAAATGATCCTCCTGCCTCAGCCTCCTGAGTGCTGGGACTACAGGCCAAAGGAAAGACCTGGCTAATTTTTTCTATTTTTAGTAGGGTGTCGCTCTTGCTTAGGCTGGTTGCAAGCTCCTGACTCTAAGCTATCCTCCTGCCTAGGCCTCCCAGTGCTAGCTGCTCTGGCCTCTCATGCTTTTTCTATGTACCTACGAAAGTTCTGTTGTTATCTAGTAATATTTCCAAATGGCCCAGAGTGGAGTTCAAATGTAATCTCCATAACGTCTTTCCTAATAAGTTGCAGCTGGAAGGAAGCTGTGCTTTTCTAGATTTCTTGGCATTTTCACTCATCTTCTGCCTTGTATCAGAGTTATTGTTGTCTATGTCTTACGAGGTTACATTAATCTGCTGGCAAAGAATGAACACACATCTCGTTTTTTGTGTCCTCCGTAAGCCCCACACATCTTACTTCCCAACTCCATAATTACCTAGGTGAAGTCAGTTCATTGATCTCTGCTCAGCTCTTCCCATACTTGGCCATTTCTCCTATTTTCTTTAACTTCAAACATGACACCATGTTAACTCAGGCCTTAGTTTGATTTGAACATGATGTGTAGCATTATATAACATTAGCATTTATATAGTAAATCTTCACTTAACATCATTGATAAGTTCTTGAAAACTGTGACTTTAAGCAAAATGACATGTAAGGAAACTAATTTTACCATAGATTAATTGATGTAAATAAGAGTTAAATTCCTGTGGCATGTTTCTGGTCAATAAAAATCCACCAGTCATCTAAAGCAATACCAAAGCACTATTGCTGTAAGGGTGTTGCTCTTAGGGTCTCATGGAAAAATGATGTCACTAAGAATAAGCTCGCTTATTGAAATTGTATTTTAAATAAAAGTGACCATCTGCTCACTCAGGCAACATGGTGAGCCTTCTTAATTTATGGTTGGTTTATATAGTCAATTTTGTGCATGCGCACTATACGGCAATGACCTCATTACAATCCCTCTGCACGTGCGCATTCGACATCAATGACTTCATTAATCCATTGGAACATCTTGTGACCACCCGCCCTGTAAGTAGTTCCTCCCTAATAATCTGATAATCGACCCAACATACATCTTTAAGCATAACCCTTTCAACATAACCTGGTTTAACATAACTTAATGAAGAACATGTTGTCAGTCATTACTTTCTTTGTTCTTATCTGACGAAGCCTGAGACTCTGGAGGAACAAGGTAGATTGAATACCTGCCCTTGGTGACCTTGCCAGTTTGGAGGCTGCTACTTCAAATCTTTAAGCAAGGCATAAAGAAACTTCTTGGGCATACAGGAATTTGTGTGCAAACCTCTGCTCCCATGTAGGTCTTAAGTCGGGAGGTTTTTCGCTGGAACATTTTATAAGAAATTTTCAGGCTGGACTTCTCAAAAGCCTTTGATGAGCCCAGGTTTCATCTGTGCCATAGATACCTGTATGCATTGAGTGAATTCCTCGTCTCTTGAGGTCCCTGAGCACATTTCCATTCTCAGACCCATCAGTAAGCGACCTTTGTCACTTACCACAGATCAGGAAAGGTTACTGATGAGTATCTGGCCAGTTTTCCAAAGGGCTTTTTTATTGGCCTTATAAAGTCAACCTTAATTCCTTAACACAGTCTGGACATTTCTGGAAATGCCATTCCAGCCAGAGCCTTGGTCAAGTTAGGCTTGCAACCAACCTGACCATATGGGATTCTGCCTCAGTTTCTCACAAGTATGCCTGCACAAAGTCTTTTCACTGCTCTTTCTCAAATGGCTTTTTTGGCCAGAGGCATATAGGTGTTTTGCCTGTAAAGCACGTCCAATATTAAACAGTGAAATAAATGTGAACTGTACTACATTTA